CCATCATTGAAGACGATTACAATCTCTACGAACACTTCTCCGAGAGTTTAGAGCGAACGGCAATGAATTGTCGCAAAATCTCTACCTTTCCATACTATGAGAGGTGGGCGCTAATGGCCATCGTTTTAGTCCTCAAAAAGATTTTCATTCTCAACGATTCAACCGAAAAACGTTTGTCTGATTGCGATCTCAAAGACTTCTTTAATTGGAGTGAATGGGAACAGTATTCGCGCGTTAGGCTCGACATGATCTACTCATACACGTGCTCACTCTATACCGGGTATACACTGAACACATTGACAGAAACGGAGTATTTATTTGAAAATTAACTTTAATTATTGACTCATTATTAGAGATTTTGAACGAATTCGAGACCAGCGTCTTATAGCCGAGTACTCACTGAAGCGCTCGGAGTATGAGATGTCGAGAATGATTGAGTGCATCAAAAAGAAGAGTAACTATTATATTGATGTTTATGAAGTTTGTAATGTTAACTGAATATCTAATTTGTTTGTACGTATCTATAGATGATTGGAAAGAGTTTGACTTTCGGACTGATATGCAGCACGAGTTTACAGCCCTTCTCTACCATATGACGGATTCGGGTTCACCTGAGTTCGTGAAGCACTCCTTATATCCATTAACCACTGCAACAGAATTGGCATTAAATCTGAATAAGTGTTCGTCAGTGAGTGAAGTGTTGTCCACTAGCTTTGAACACAAACGACTGATTGGTTGGACGTGCCCTCACGGCAAGGTATTCCACAGGGGGTACGACTGTTTAGCCAGAGATCCCAAACGGTGGTCCTCGTCGTTCAAACTACTCATACAATTAAGTTGTGTTTTGCTTCGCTGTAAAACCCAAGAACTAATTCCAATACTCTTTAAAATGGAGAAAATATATTTCATTAAACAAATCGCGAAGACTAAGCGATAAATTATTATCTAGCTATTATCTCAGTTAACTTAATACACATTTGATTGTACAGTAATTATAATATATTAAAGATTATTATTATTATTATTTTAAGCAACTATTATGTGATGATATTCCGGTTTTTCCAATTGTACAAATTTTTATACCATTTATTGTGGTAAACTTATTGCATGTTTTCGCATCATATTTATTACCGGTATACTGTACGTAGATTTTTTTGTAATGAATTTAAACAAATGTGGTAATAATGGTAATTTATTCGCCTATTAATGAATTTATAAATTAAAAGTTTTAAAAACATATAAAAATATTCCGTAAAATTCAATTAAAATAAATTATTTATAATCTATTAGTGTTCGCAAATATATACTGTATTTATAAATAGCATTTAATTTGAAAACATCACTAGAAATGCTTCACTTAATGAATAGACTGAATACTAGTCGAAGACATCGAATGGAACCGATTCGACAAATTCTGTGACTTTGAATCGCGGGTAAAGACCCTTATGTTTGGTGCGGTTGTGGTCTCCGGTGTTGTAGCCGTTGTGCTCATTGCGAGCGATTCCNTGAACTCCTTGGGCTCGGTTTAGGGTGTGGAGGCTTTCCGCTCATGATTTAGTCTTTGGTTTGTTTCTGTTGTCTTAGTTTCACCACATGCCTATCGCCCGTACCACTGAGCACTTGGACAGGAATTTCTAGACGCTCTCCCCCTGGCCTCGTCTCACCCGTACCTCTACCTCTACCCCTACCGGGTGTACTGGTTTGGCTCAGGTTTGATGATGAACTCCTTGGGCTCGGTTTAGGGTGTGGAGGCTTTCCGCTCATGATTTAGTCTTTGGTTTGTTTCTGTTGTCTTAGTTTCACCACATGCCTATCGCCCGTACCACTGAGCACTTGGACAGGAATTTCTAGACGCTCTCCCCCTGGCCTCGTCTCACCCGTACCTCTACCTCTACCCCTACCGGGTGTACTGGTTTGGCTCAGGTTTGATGATGAACTCCTTGGGCTCGGTTTAGGGTGTGGAGGCTTTCCGCTCATGATTTAGTCTTTGGTTTGTTTCTGTTGTCTTAGTTTCACCACATGCCTATCGCCCGTACCACTGAGCACTTGGACAGGAATTTCTAGACGCTCTCCCCCTGGCCTCGTCTCACCCGTACCTCTACCTCTACCCCTACCGGGTGTACTGGTTTGGCTCAGGTTTGATGATGAACTCCTTGGGCTCGGTTTAGGGTGTGGAGGCTTTCCGCTCATGATTTAGTCTTTGGTTTGTTTCTGTTGTCTTAGTTTCACCACATGCCTATCGCCCGTACCACTGAGCACTTGGACAGGAATTTCTAGACGCTCTCCCCCTGGCCTCGTCTCACCCGTACCTCTACCTCTACCCCTACCGGGTGTACTGGTTTGGCTCAGGTTTGATGATGAACTCCTTGGGCTCGGTTTAGGGTGTGGAGGCTTTCCGCTCATGATTTAGTCTTTGGTTTGTTTCTGTTGTCTTAGTTTTAGTTTTAGTTGTTTTATTCAAAAGAATTGTTTAATTTTTATATCTATAAAATACATTTAAAAATATTTAAATACTTAAATATTTTAAAAATATTATTTTATTCAATTGCAAACTATTTTTGATATAAGTATTTAAATGTTTGTATTCATCTATGCAAATAATATAGACTGGGTTTATTTTGTATTTTATTTATTATAATAAAGCTATGGAAACCAATTCATACAATTACTCTAACTTTAACTTAGGAATTAAAAACATTTTAAATGCATTTATAAGCACTCTATTTATGAAAATTTTGTGGTGGTCATCACCACCGCATACCTGAGTCTGTGTCTGGCATATCGTGCAGAAGTAGACACCGTTCTCCTCCTCGAACTGAGTTGATCCACATCTTTGGCAATGCATTGTAACTCATGAGTGGCGACAGAGATACTAAACATTACTATTATTTTGTTGTGAAATGAGTTTGTAATCAAAAGTAAATTTTTAAATTTATTTATGTTTTTGTCGAAAAGCACTGGTTTTTGAACGCAACCTTCAATGGTCTAACCTTTCGGTACCTTTTTATATAGTATAAGGCAATGCGTTTTATGTATTAAAATGTTCCAAAATGTATGCATTTTTATTGTGTTTTATGAATTGTGTAATGAATAACGTTTCGCACAGACAGTCAGTAAAACTTTTCTAAAACAAATAATTGAACAAACTTTTTATTATGGTAACTTTTAATTTGCAATTAAATTCAACATACGATACGAATCTTATAAACATTTTATCGCCAAATCATAAAAAAATAATTTATTATAATAAAACTATGGAAAACAATTTATACAATCATATTAATACTAACTTTAACTAAGGAATTAAAAACAATTTAAATGTATTGATAAGCACTCTATTTAGGAAAATTTGGTTTAATATGAAAATAAAATTGTGAATCAATTGGGTTCAGGAGTATTGTCTTTCTCATTGAATACGATATACTTTTCTTTTGGCAAAACTATCATAAAAGTCATCAAAAGGATTGCGACGACAACTGCGGCACAAAAAATAGCCAGATATTGAGTGCCACTCTTCGCAGTGGTCTTACTCTGTCGCGGGTCAGTAGTATTGTCCTCTGAGGCTGTGGCTGCCTGTGGGCCAGATTTGGCGGGCTTTGAGTCGCCGAAACAAATGAAGGCATTCCTCAGCGGTTCAATCGGTTCCAGTTGTCCGATGAGCTTACCATTGATGCGACTCATCGTCAAGATATTCATCTTTCTGTAATTATTACCACTGAAGAGATATAATGTTGAGTTCAGCTCTTGAGTCGATGGGGAGGTGTTGGTTGAGTTGGTGTCTACGGCGGGGGTCTCGCCCTCAACGGTAAGCATTTGCGACGAATCGATCACTTGATTGTCAAACAGTTGGCTCGAGTCCACCGATGGGTAGTTCCTGATGTTGATGCCTTCCCTGGCCTCGCATACGGACAACCACTCAACCACTTTATACGTCTTTTCCCGGAACACTACCATCTTATTAGGGGTCCAATCGGTGATGGCATCGATCTTCATGTTCTCATGAATTGGTGACAATATTGCGCTCAAGAGTTTGTGATTGTTGAGCGATAAACTCTCGGACCACTGCCTATTCTTTGAGGAATATGTCCTGAATTTGTTGGAATCGATGGCAATCAGATCCAATGAGCCGTCCGGACATTCCTGTGTGTCCAGGAAGAAGGCTGCGTCCACTTTACTCATACCCTCCGGCAATACCTTCGGCTCATTGTCTCTGAGGAACTCCTGAAACCAAAAGGTATTCTTGTGTGACATAAATGAATAAACAGATAT